ATTTACAGAGCTGGAATCCACTTTTCGCCAAACAGCCTATTCTCTTACTTGCTTACTTCTGAAAATGAACACCCATTGAGAGTGTGAGATTATCTGTCATTTGCTATTTTATTTTAGTAGCCTATGAAGGAAATCCAGCCCTTTACTTAAGGCATGTATTCCTTTCCTTTACTGAAGGATAATTTACTATAAGGATCAATTTATTAAATCCTCAAAATCTTATTTTCCTTAATTGCCCTTAGCATACTGTGCTAAATTGATAATTCATTAATTATCTTATAAATTCTAAGGACCTATCGTGTTGGGCTTGTAAGTGCCCATCGGGATGTTTTGCTCGAAAACTATTAAGCTTTTAAAAGAACTATCATTCGATTTTTATAAAATGATAACTCACTCATTTAGTTACAAGCACTAAAATCCCGTTGTAAAATCTCTTTTCGAATATCGACTTTTGAAAACTATTCCCCAAGTCGTTTTACGGTTGACTTGTAAACCACTGTGAAACTATGTTGTAGAAACCCTTTTTTTTGAAATCTTTCTTCACGGCTATTCCTCATTAAAGTGAGGTCTAAAACCATATTATTTTACTGAAATCACATATCGGATTCTTTGATAACCTTTTGTTAAAAACGTCACTGTTTTAGTTTCGTTTTGTTAAAACTGTACAGTTTCTGAAATCTGCATTTCACTGCATCTTAGAGTCGGATTTTGAAAATCTATTATTCACAACAATTCTTCAACTCGTCGAGATCTAAAATTGTCATTTTTAGATAAAGTTAAAATTCAGCCTCTAAAGGCCTCGTTTGGCTGAAAATTTTTTTCTTTTGCTGTAGCAATCCTTTAATAAGGCTGTAGCAATCCTTTTAAAAACGCTATAGGATTGTTGTAGCAATCTTCTAATATTGCTGTAGCAATCTTTTTGAAAAGGCTTTAGGATTGCTGTAGCAATCTCTTTTAAAATGCTGTAGGATTGCTGTAGCAATCGCCCTTTTTTTCTATTTCCGAAACTG